CTTAAAAAAAAAAGGAAAGAAAATCGGTTGCTTTAATGTGGATGAAAGAAACATCCGTTAGAGTTCAATGGAAGGAAACACCTGAATAAAAATAAAAATTCGAATTAACCTAATTTGTGCATTCACTTTCTTCCTAAAAATAATAATTCAATACTTCCGTCCCCTGAAACTACAAACTAATTTCAATTGATAATTTTTAGAAAAAAGTTTACATAACAAAAAAAATATTTCTTATTATGACACCTATTGTACGTTTATCTTGAATAAAATAAAAAAATTATTTCCATAGGTCAGAAGCCTCTATATTGTAGGAAAATGTGTAAACCATCACATTTATTTATTTATTCTTGACTTTTCGACTATATTATTGGTGATTTTAAATATTTTTTATAATCGTCTCCTGTTAATGGGGATTTCAAGTGCTTAAAATACATATTTGCAAATACACCAATTTTTAATTATCTGTTGGTTGGTGATATTTTTAATTTCATTGTATTATAATTTTTAAGCAGAAATCGGTCATCAATAGACACACCGCTACTGTTACTACAATGGGTGATATGTAAAAATTTATTGCTTTACAGGAAAGCATTAAAAACTGATTATTTCTTTATGATTTATTAGTATAATTTTATATTTTATGTCCCTCTTCTATTTTTCATAGTGTCAGAGTACTTAGATTAGGGTAAGCGGTGGACTTTTTTTTTTTTTTTGGCTTATACCGCCGTAATTATAATAGTTATAAACTTTTCCGTTGATCATTTAGAATCTCTGAGGTCTCCTTTTTCTATTTAGAACTTTAAAATAGGAAACATATTCAATTATGCTAGTACAATCTCCACATAAAAAAAAAACCTTCTTGCACTAGGGGGTCGGTACCAATGGACATACTTCAGAAAAAATCTAAATTTTTAAATAACTATAAAGATAAGGATAAAGATAACATTACATAAATCTTCAACTTAGTCTTAGCAAAACTGTTCTTAGGAAGGTATAGGGCCAATATGAATAGGTACTTTCAATTTTTCTTTTGGGAACTTAGTTCATACAGTTGTCAATAGAATGCATTGTTCTTCAATCTAAAACAAACTGGAACCTTTAAATCAAGTAGGAAGCTTATTTACATTTAAAGTCCAGCATGTCCATCACTGGGCCCCCTGTCCTTGATTGGTGCGTTCACCCTAGTTGCAGACTATAAAATGTCACCTTTGACAACAAATTGAATAAAAAATGGAATCATGTTTTAATCCAATGGAATGGTATGGAAAAATGTTTTAATCCGTGTTTTGTCGCTAATAGTAGCAATGTACTATGTATTGTAGCATTTATTTCATTTCCCAACGTTGGTCGAAACTTCATAAAATCAATATTCACCTACTAATTAATTAAGAATTACGGTAGATTATTTCCACATCATTATCATAATTTTGGATTATTGCCTGATAAAAACTACAGGTCTCAAGCTGCAGGCAAATTACATTTTTCTTTATCCAACAAATAATCAATAACTACATAATAATATAATATAGTATTTTTTACTTAAGTATCGCCAGTCACTTTAGTAACAGTTACTTTTAGTAAAATAACAGTTTTCATTTAGAAATTATCGGCCATAGAAGAATAAGTGTTGTTGATAATATTAGGCAATTGACAAACAGGAAATAGGTTAATTTTGATAATAACGTTTTCTAATTATTTATCAATATTATTACATATCTATATCAATATTATTATTACATCTTCAGGAGACCAAAAGTTTCTCATTGCCTGTAATATCCTCGGGAATATTTTTTTTTCTGTGCAAAATTTCTTTCTTCTTACCATAATTTCGATGCTCTTCAATTGTGATGAAGAAATCTTATTTAATTTTGAGAAGTTCACATTTTTTTTATTTCACACTCAATATTTGACAAATTTGTAACAGTTCTAAAAAAGTAACTGGCGATATTTAATTTAAAAAATATCCACAATGTAAAATAATTATAAATACTTTGAGGTATCATATTATATAGAAGGCATGTTAAGCTCTGAACCAGTTTTCTTTAAATTAGCTTATTCTGAGAACCCATTTTTGTCTTAACATCCTGTTTGTAAATTTACCTAATAACTAAGGAAATCAACTTCCAAATGTCAGGCAATTGTCGAATCAAATTGCAATCAGGTTGTCGCCCTACATTTTATTGGGTCATTTATTAAATTCATATATACAATATATTTTTTGTTCCAGTAAAAAGTTCAACTGGTACTATAAGAATTCCGTCACAATTTTAGTTGTTTACAGTCTAATTAATAAGGAAATGTATACTTACTAAATCGATGATGGCCTCTTGAAATAAATTTTGAAAAATATCACTGTTCCTTAATGTACATCGACGTTCGGGAAGCACTGATCCAACGAATCTGAATTATAATATTGAGGAAAAGAACCAGTTCCGACAGAATCCGATCTTGGAGAGTTCCAATTAACAGAAGGAAAAAAAACATTATTTTAAACCCCATAAAGCTCAATGCTGGGCCCATTTAAACCATTAATTTGTAAATTATACCAAGGAAGAAGATTTCCAGATTAAGGTCTTAACTGTTTTGATATTTAATCTATGGCTAATTTGTCAGGAAGTTTACATCGCTCAACACGAGGTTCAAAGTATTCCTTCTTCCTACCAAACGGCATCTCTAAGGATTCGTATTCATTTTTTTTCTTCTTCTTTATTATTATATAAAAGATCGCTACTGTTTGTGCAAAAGGTCGCATGTAAAATTTTTTTGATCTTAAAGTATAAAAACTGATGTTTTATATTTTAAAAGAAAACAAAATTCTTAGTATAATAACATATTTAATTTTTCTCTGATATTTTCCATTGTAGCAGAGGATTGCAGACTACAAAATTTCACCTTTAGCACGAATGGAATTTTTTTTTTTTTAATATTTACAACTGTATTAAAGAAATACATTTAGTAAATTTGAACACTATGATTATAATGACATAAAAACACTTGTGGGAAACTACCCAACGGTAGCACTCTAATAATATGTCTACATTAGGAGATCACGGGGCCATCTTTTCAGACGCCTCGGAGGGTTATCAGGAATTGAAGAGGAAGCGAGGTTAGAAGCAAGAGGGTTGGGATGATTCTGAAGTTTATTACAGAAGGATAGGTATCTGGATTGGGCCAGATCTGAAACGTAAGAAACATTAAAGTCATTCTGGATGGTTTTATTTGTAACAAAGTAGGGAGCATTAAGGATTTTACGAAGGATTTTGTATTGTAAGGATTGGATACGAGAGGAATTCGATGGTTTAGTGGAGCCCCATAGCTCAACTCCGTAAGTCCAAATAGGCCTTATTATAGTCATGTATATGAGTCTTTTGTAATTAATTGGAAGTTTAGAGCGTTTGTCTAGTAAGTGCTGAAGTAATCGGAAACGTCGAGCGGTTTCTTGTCGTTTCAGTCTGGTATGAGGATTCCAAGTTAGAGGTTTGTCCAGATGGAGTCCTAGGTAGCGGATTTGTTCAACCGGGATAAGTGGAGTATTGTTAAAGGAAACGACTATTTGTTCTAACAGTAGTGATATTAATAATTCATTATAATTATAATATATATAATTATAATATATAATTATTAATTATCCACCTGCTTGGTGGGTGTCGTATTACAGCGTAAAATAGATATGTTTTGCAGTTTCGTATCATTCTAACTGGCCATATATTTGCATTTGATATCATAAAATCAAAGTAACACGGTGACGATTCTTATGTGCGCGTCGAGCAAGAAATGGCCGTTGTCTGCGTAGGTTGATGTGCTCAGGGATAAGTGGTTGTCATTATGTTGATTTGTGAAGCCGTTTGTGGGTGAAATTTCCTCTGAATAACGCAGCCTTGATGCCTGTTACAAGGTTTATTTATACTTACTTCGCAAATGTTAATGTTTTCGGCAAATAAGCTGTCATCATCAATCCGCTGATGGCCGAGGGCCTGTTCAAGCTTAGGATTTGAAGGACTTGAGTGATCTCTGCGACTCATTTATACCATCAGATTAAAACAGGTGGACTTTCTTTTACTGAAAAATTAAGTAAATATTTATAGTTAAGTATATAAGTATATACGTAGTAATTAATTTCTCAGTTATACGAAACACCCAAAACAAGGAAACATAGCTTTTTTTATATTAAGATGATGTCAAACCATGAAAAATGGTGTCAAAACTGGAGAATTAAATTAAATTCCAATAAATCCCATCAAATTATCTTTACTCGTAAATATACTACCAGTCCTACAGTATCCTTTAACAATTCCCCACTTATCCCTGTTGAACAAATCGTAATACCTAGGACTCCATCTGGACAAGCGACTCACTTGGAATCTTCTTACAAGACTGAAACGACAAGAAACTGCCGGCGTTTTCGACTACTCCAGCACTTATTAGACAAACGCTTTTTAACTTTCAATATATTACAAAATACTCATGTACATGACTATAATAAGACGAATTTGGACTTATGGAATTTAGCTTTGGGGCTCCACCAAACCATCGAATTCCTCTTGTATCCAATCCTTACAATTCCAAACCCGCAATGCTCCTTACTCCGTCACAAATAAAATCATTCATAACGACTTTAACGTACCATATGTTTCCGATTTAGCCCAATCCAGATACCTATCCTTCCATAACTTCAAAACCATCCGAACCCTTTCGTTTCAAACCTTGATTCCTCTTCGATACCTGATAACCCTCCGAGGCGTCTGAAAATAAGATGTTCTCGTGATCTACTTATGTAAATATATCATTAGAGTGCTACCAAAGTGTAATTTCTCAACAAGCGTTTTCATGTGATTATATTATTCCTGTGCACGTACACGTTTACTTGATGTATTTTTATTTTAATATAGTTGTAAACATCATGAATAAATAAATTTAAAAAAAAGATGTTTTCTTTTGTCCTTTAAATCTTTCTCGTACATTGTTGCATTAACAATATGTTATATTTTATTTATTTCTAGCCATCTGGATGGAGAAAATTGAGAAATATCGTTCAGTGGACGCCCTTCTTCCAAACATACAAAAAGCAGCGCTACCCTTGGGTGCAACTTGCCGGGCATCAAGGTAAGTGTTTTAAGTGCATTCCAACGATTGGAGGGTTCGGCCGAATAACAGTCTATGAATTATTTTTTTTAGTTTACAGATCAATCAAAGCTGATTTCTGTACTCTTTTCGCTTGAAAACTACATTGAACTTAGATTCATCAATCGGTTATTTACTTGCCATTTTTAGGACGTTAATAATGTACGATGAATGAAAGCGACATAGAACTTTATTTGGCTAAACCCTTCAATTACTCATTAAATATTTACCATATTTTATTATTTATTATTGTCTATATTTAGAACAGACTGGAAGTAATACTCCATGTTAAGTTTGTCATGGTTTTTTTATATATAATAAATCATGTTCTTTAAAAAAAAATTTTTTAATTCTTTTTTTTTTTTCTCGCTTTGCGGGATGATTTTCTGAGGTAAGAAACCAGAACTCCAAAAGCCAGACATCTTCATATTATTATATTTTTTCAAATACTTAAAAATTTTCGGACAATATGTTCTGTGTCTAAGGGAATTGAGTGTTGACTTTGATATTATTCCATTAGTGGATATTATAATTGGTGTGGTGGTGACGCTCTCTAAATGGCATAATTCCTTCAATTCTAAAGTTAGTTACTGAAATTTCCTGAGTTTTTTCTCCAAAAGTGTAGTGTATATTATTATCGTTGGAAATTCCGACATCAATAAGCTCTCCTTTGTTTGCTATCATACCTATTTGGAAGATATCTAGTTCATTATGGAGCACAGTATGGTACTTAATAATTGTTTCATCCCAGTAGAGTTTTAGACTACGTTTTTAAAGGAATCTATTTTGATGGTACTTATATATAATATGGATTCTTATAATCTAATAAGTTCAGTTTTACCTACAGCCAGGGCCTGTTGGAAAATTTTGGCCACATTGTTATAGCCTCTGGTGATACTCTACCATCTAGCACTCTACATCCATCTGTGGGTATATTGGATAGACTCCAACGTTACTGAGTATAATCGAAGTTTATTCGGGCATTGTTGCATGTTTAGAACATGTCTTCTATATGATCTAGTGTCAATAACTTGCTCTTAAATGGCAATTAAAAATCCTTCTGTCTCGGAGAATAACTTTCCCGGTTTTGATTATTCAACAATATTATTATTGTCCAAATATTTTTTCTTACTTTCACTGGTAACTACAATTGTTAATCTATTTATATACGCAAAAAATATCCTCTATAATGAAGATTTTTTTTTCGTTGTTCCTTACGTTTTTTAATTGATTTTTTACTAAATATTAAGTTAGTATGGTAGTATATAAAAATATCCGGGTACGAGAAAAATTCTTATCACATGTAAAACAATAACCATAACAACGTTAATTACCTAAATTATCGTTAAGTAAGAAAGTATCTTATTTTTTAAGGTTATTCCTAGATCAATATATCGATATGAAGATCTCATGAAATACATCGCTGTGAAGAAAATGCGACCCATGCGCCTTGAAGATTCCGCGCTATTTTCCCGTAAGTAAGTTCCAAGTGATTCTCAAATGGGTAGGTTGACAGGAAAGAAATGCCGCTTGGTATCGATGTTCGGACTGACCGCCTTCTTCTTCATGGTGGAGATATCAGTCGGATACTTCACCAACTCGATGGCCCTCCTCGCGGACAGCTTCCACATGCTCAGTGATGTCGCAGCGCTCACCATTGCCTTCCTTTCCATCAGGATGTCACCGAAGAAGTGGTCCAAGAACACATTCGGCTGGGCGAGGGCAGAGGTATTAGGAGCGCTCGTCAACGCGGTTTTTCTGTCAGCAATGTGCTTCTCCATCCTCATCGAAGCCTTGAAAAGATTTCTCCAAGTGGAACCGATCCGAAATCCGATGCTCATAGTCGTGGTGGGTTCGATTGGTCTATTGGTGAATATTATCGGGCTGTTCATGTTTCACCACCACGGCCATGCACGATCCAAGGACTCTGGCTCTACTCAGAAGCTGAACAACAGCGTATCAATGGAAGGTGATGGGTGTTCATATCGGGAGAAGTACGTCAATGCAAACAAGCTAGACACAGTAAAATGTGTTAACAATAGTTCTGAACAACTAAATATGAAGGGTGTATTCTTACACGTCCTCGCTGACGCCCTGGGTTCTGTTATAGTAGTCCTGTCTGCGACTGTCATCTGGCTCACTGATTGGCCGTACCGGTTCTACATCGACCCCGCGCTGAGCATCATCATGGTGGTCATCATCCTCCGATCGGTGTGGCCACTTCTCAGGGATTCATCGCTCATCTTGCTCCAGACGGTGCCTACACACATCGAAGTTGACATGATCGAGAGGAAGCTGTTGGAGAAAGTAGACGGAGTGCTTGGCATCCACGAATTTCACATATGGCAGCTGGCGGGTGACAGGATCATCGCTTCGGCACACATCAGGTGCCGAAACCTATCGGAGTACATGATGCTAGCCGGTAAGGTGAAAGAGTTCTTCCACAACGAGGGTATCCACTCCACGACGATCCAGCCGGAGTTCACCGAGGTGGACGACGACCTGGTGGATTGCATGCTGGACTGCCCGGACGCCTACTCTTGCTCCTTCTCCACCTGCTGCGGCCGCACGAGGGAACGCTCCCAGACCCCTCCGATGCTATGCAGGCAGCGCAGCATTTCCGACGTGGCTGAATCTTAGCCGATACTTCTGAAAAATCTGCCTGATGTTAGGAACAGTCTACTCACCTGTTGTCAAGAACATTTCATAACAATTATTTATCTCAAATATATCTGATTCGACAACCTGTATCTAATATTTTTTTAATTTGTATCAGTATTTTAATTAAATTTTTATAAATTCTGGAAATAACCACTTTTTAACATTTACGATTTAATTAATTTACACCTTACCGGGAATAAAAAAAAAAAAAAAAGAAGTATTATAAAGGTGGTAAAGATACTTGATTCTCATAATAAAAATACTTGCATTCTGATTGAAGAGTAATTTTTAATTTTTTCTCCTTTTTTTAAAGAAGCTATCTTGTTTTCTTTATTAATTTTTCTGATCTCTAGCATAAATATCGTACTCATTCAAGATTTGCATACGTTGTAAAATTTATAATTTATAACACGATTTTTTTTTAACTATGAGGTCGTTTAATCATTTAAATGTGGGCCTAGTAGCAATGATTTACGTTTTGAAGTGACCGTAAAAAACGATAAATGATGTCCAGGACACGAGCAGCTGTTACAACTCCTTTGGATTGTGGTTGGATTGTTACTTGAAAAGAGAGTGGTGAAGTGTTTAGCATCTGAATACATTAGCCCGATAACGGGAATACATAAAGTTATGTTTGCTTCTTTTTTTTTTTCTTCCTCCAGGTAGCCGTTTTCCTTACGGAAGAAAATGTCTGGAGGTTATTCTCTTATAGTTATAGGAGTTGGGATCGAATATGAATTAGCCCTTTGATTTTTATTGTTTTTTTTTTTAAACATGTTAAACGAAATCAGGTATTAAAGAGAAGCATATTAAATTCTATGTACTGTCACATCACGGTTGTAGCAGGATTAACTGGCTTCATCCTAATAACTATAGATGTCAGGGATCATTGCATAGGTGTTATACTGATTAAGAAATTAACATGAATTTAATTTAAATGGCAATCATTGTCTCAAATACATAACTTTGATTGTTTTTATTACATTAAAAAAATGCCTTATTTTTAAACCTTAGTGTTCGAATACGTTATTTCGATAAGTATAAAACCTGGAGCTGTTAAATCGCCAGATCCTGTACTCATATCCTGCGTAATTAGGTCATTTTTTTCTCTCAGCCTCCATCAATAGTCAAGGATATGATTTTTTTTTTACAAAATAAGAGAGAATTATGTGAAAAATAAGAAATATTTTTAAGCTTCAAAGATCGAAGAAACGGTGTTAAGAATAATTTGCATTGTCGTTCCTCTAACTCCACTCGAGCATTTCGTTAAAAAGGAATACTTTTATGAAACTCAGCCTATTTCATACTTTAAAATTTTACTTTGCTCAATATATACTTATAGGTCTTTTTCCTTCACTGTTTATACGAGAAGAAACATGAAATTACCTCTGCAATCAAATAGGCTGAAAGAGATTATTTTTCATTGATTCTCATAAAAGTATTCTTTTTTGACAGAACTTTCAAGCGGAATTAGAGGAACGACTACGCAACCTAATGTTTTAGTTTTATTTATTTATTTTAACAATTTTAAGTAGTAGGATTGAATATATTCACGAGTTGAAAATAAAATACATATACTTAACTTGTTTCAATACGTTCCTATCTGACTCTGCCTTACAAGTAAGGAAACGTGCTCTGTGGTTGAAAGGAAAGTAGAGGATTTATCGGTAGCGCTTTATCAGTTAGGCTAGGGACTGCTTAGAGGATATGGATCCAGCTAATAACTTACAAGCGCATATTTGCCACTAATGCCACCTAACGGTTTGATAAGTGCGTTCATGGAGGAACTTGGATGTTGAATTTGCCAAACGTATCCAGACATTTGATTTTTTTTTTATCTATGACTCTCTCAACTGCACTCTGAAAATCATCACCGTCAAACGTCATCGAAAGCTGATTTTAATCTAAATTGCATGTTTCCCGCTAAAAGAACCATTTGCATGTAACGACGGTGTTTAGTCTCTAAAAAGCCCCTAATCTTCCTTGATTTGGATATCTCTAATAGATCTGTAAAGCAACATTGTAGAAACTTATAAATTACACTAGAATCTTTTTATCATTAGAGGCCGCAGCAAGGTTAGGTAGTGATAACGGAGGCCTCAATAAAAGATATTATTTTTTATAATTAAGTAAATACACACCCTTATATATGTATTCAACTTAATACTACCGATTTTCAAATTTTCTTAACCTAAATAATTAAATATCAATTAATTCTAGCGCTAGATTAATAAAGGCCGCGCAAAAAAGTTTGGAGACCGCAGCTTCTGAAGTCGCATGCGGCCTAGTGCATTAGATCTCCTTGATAAAACAAATTTGTA